CCTGCCTTGATATTCTGGGATAAAGGGCTGTGTGGAAGGGCCTTTGAGCTAGGGGATGTTGTGTGGCCTTTAATGTATTTCAAATAGGTGTTCATAATTTTAAGGGTCCATTTTAAGGTAGCTCTAGGTTTAATTCTATTTCGTTGTGTGTAGTCTTTAAGTTTATCAAATTGTATATTGCGCTATTCACTTCCTTGAATCGTTAGGATTTCGTGTCATCAGCAACCAGCCATTTGTATTACATTTTTAACAAAAAACAAACAAACAGACAAAACACAGAATTTGCAAGCTTGGTAATTGACTAAATGTCCTTTGACCAGTATCTGGCCACTTGGAGTGCCTCTGGTGTTGCCGCAAGAAGGTCCTCCATTGTGCATGTGGCAGGGCTCAGGTTGCATTGCAGCAGGTGGTCAGTGGTTTGCTCTTCTCCACACTCGCATGTCATGGATTCCACTTTGTAGCCCCATTTCTTAAGATTGGCTCTGCATCTCGTGGTGCCAGAGCGCAGTCTGTTCAGCGCCTTCCAAGTCGCCCAGTTTTCTGTGTGCCCAGGGAGGAGTCTCTCATTTGGTATCAGCCATTGATTGAGGTTCTGGGTTTGAGCCTGCCACTTTTGGACTCTCGCTTGCTGGGGTGTATCTTTAGGAGAGAAAAGGGAACATTATTATTATTATTATTATTATTATTAATAATAATAATAATAATAATATGATTCATTGGAACTTGTGCCACAAATACCATCTGCCTGCGACAAAGAACTGGTGGGATCACAAGCCGGAAAAAGTTACAGAGAATGAACACGTCAAACTACTCTGGGACTTCCAAATTCAGACTGACAGAGTTTTGGAGCACAATACTCCTGACCTCACAATCGTGTTAAAAAACATGGATTGTTGATGTTGCAATCCCAGGTGACAGCAGGATTGAAGAGAAACAACTGGAAAAGCTAACACGATATGAGGATTTAAAGATCGAACTGCAAAGACTCTGGCACAAGCCAGTCAAGGTGGTCCCAGTGGTGATCGGCACACTGGGTGCAGTGCCTAAAGACCTTGGCCTGCACTTAAACACAATCGCCGCTGACAAGATTACCATCTGCCAGATGCAAAAGGCCACCTTACTGGGATCTGCACGCATTATTTGCCGATACATCACACAGTCCTAGGGAAGTGTCCAACGTGTGATCCAATACAACAGCCAGCAGAGTTTCTGCTGTGGACACAAACACTTGTTGTGTTTCAAATAATAATAATAATAATAATAATAATAATAATAATAATGCTCGTCCATGACAAGGAAATGCACTTAAGTGGCTGTGTTTGTTTGTCATGTCAGGAGCGACTTGAGAAACTGCAAGTCGCTTCTGGTGTGAGAGAATTGGCCGTCTGCAAGGACGTTGCCCAGGGGACGCCCAGATGATTTGATGTTTTTGTCATCCTTGTGGGAGGCTTCTCTCATGTCCCCGCATGAGGAGCTGGAGCTGATAGAGGGAGCTCATCCGCCTCTCCCCGGATTCGAACCTGCGACCTGTCGGTCTTCAGTCCTGCCGGCACAGGGGTTTAACCCACTGCGCCACCGGGCCTGAGGCTGTTATGAATAGTGGGAGTTGAAGTCCAAAACACTTGGAAGTCCAAAGTTTGCCCATGACTGATATAGACACACAAAGCCCTATATCAGTGGTTCTCAGCCTGTGGGTCCCCAGGTGTTTTGGCCTCCAACTCCCAGAAATCCCAGCCAGTTTACCGTGTTAGGATTTCTGGGAGTTGAAGGCTAAAACATCTGGGGATCCACAGGTTGAGAACCACTGGTTTAGGGGTTTAAAGGTAGATGACCAGCACTTTTGTCCCACAGATAAAAGATCCCACAGTGTTCCTTTCTCCAGGGCATTTATCACTCTAATTTTCACCTGTTTTTATGTATTAGGACTCCTTCATCTGTTGCCAGAGACCCAGGTGTTTTTTAAAATAAATATTATAAGTAGTGTATGTTTCTTTTTTGTCTGTCCTATAGAAGTTGGCGCGTATCTGAAGAACGCATGGGCAAAGGAGCCTGTGATCGTGGTCTCCTGTGCCCTTGGTTTTGTAGGTGAGTTCATGTATTTCCCTGTGGCTCAGAAATCTTTAATAGCATCCCATTTCCTTCCATTGTGGGACTAGAGGCAGCACATAGATGTTCACTTTTCTGTTCTGCGTCCTTACATGAATCAGACTACTTGGCTTTAGCAAAGGTGCTGTTTCATAGCTCTTCAAGCCATTTCTCCAGAACTTAATTTACTGCTCTCTATCTGTTTCCTGCCTTGACCGCACAGCACTACTTTTCCATCAGGGAAGGGTTATGGCTCGGTGATAAGAGCATGTCCTTTGCATATACAACGTGGCAAGGCTAGGGAAGATGACTGTTTGAAACTGGACAACTGTTCCCAATGAATGTGAAGAACACTGAGCTAGACAGATCTCCAGTATCTTATAGATAATTCTTTTCTGATGCAGATCTTTGTTTTCTCTTTCTTCATTTCAGCTGTAATACTACCCTGGGTCAGTCCCTACACTAAATACACCGCCATGGCCATCGAAGCTATGCCATATGCGTATCCAGGTACAATCAAACTTATAGTGTTTGTTTCAAATGTGGCTTCTGAATTTTAGGGGATAACAGAAAAGTGACCTAATATTTAAGGAGGGAAAACTATTTCTTGAAAGGAATATGTCTGTTGGTGAGAAATGAAGTAATTATATCTCTGCAAATAAATAAAAATCCTTTAGTCCCTAAAGTTTTAGCTTGCAAACTGAAGTATTGAAAATTATTCATATTTAGGACTCCCATTTACTTTGCTAGCATATCCTTGGTTGTTTTTGCATGCGCCTTTTCTTTGGAGACCTAAACTGTAGTTGTAAATACTCAGCTGTACTTTTAAATAAAGGCAATGCTAGATATTTGGCCAAGGAAGGGAAATTTGATTTGAGGGCCCACATTCTCCCCTCGCCCCAACCGCTCCAAAACAAGGCTATCCTGGTTGTTCATGCTTTTGGAAAGATGCGATATTCGGAAATTTTTGGATAACTACTTAGGCTGTTTTTGCTTTGTGACATCACATTCTTTACAGTGTTGCATTCAGAGAAATGATTTTAATGCCCTCCACCCCTCTCCCAGAGGTACTTAACTGTATCAGGCTGCAGCTGAATCCAAAGGCATGGCCACTTATTTGATTGTCCCTCTCTTTTGTGTCCTTAGTTCCTGTTCGGGATGATGGCAACATGCCAGATATTCCCTCCCATCCCTGCGATAAGGAAGGCCCAAGCCTCGATTGGCTGAAGAATCTCTAAGAATGACTGGCACAGAAAGCTATCGCTACCCTTTCTTGTACATGTATTTTGAGGATGTAATAAACTTGTTAAATTACAAACAGACTCTGCAGTCTTTGTCTCGGAACAGAGTTCGGAAACCTTTGCAATGCCAACTCCCAAAAGCCGATGCCAGGACGCTCAGTAGAAAGGGATTATGGTACTTGGATTTGAAAACACCCAGAGGGCAAAAATGTTTCGTAGATACGTCCCCTAGATGGGTTGCATATTGCTTGGACACTGTCCATACCAATCTGCTTCTTTGTTGAACATGTCAAGAAACTTAACCATTTAGGTAGCTTGGTTTCTTACTTCAAGAGAATGTATACTTTTTAGTTTTCTTGAGAAAAGTTAACAGATGATAAATCAGAGTTTGTTTCTTCTTTGAACTAATCACATTTCTAGGGCAGTGCAGTGGGGAATATGGCAATGGGAGGAAGAAGTTGGTGGCATGCTTCAGAGATGCACAGAAAACATGTTGGGAACTGCTTCCAGATAACCTTGCAGCAGGACACATGTGTAACTCTCAGTTGTTTCAACATTCTACCTCATTATAAATGTGGCTACTGAAACAAACAGGATAAAATTGGTGGTTTTACATAAAATATAAAATGGCTTAGTTCTGATAATAAAAACACATTACAAAGTTGAGCATGCATTAAAGCTGCCTTGTTCCTTAATACTAAGGGTGTTGCCATTTCCCCACATCATTAATCTGATTTTTATCCACTGGAATATGCCTTTGCACTTTGCTACTCTGTTGCTGCATATGCATGCCTAGTGTGGAACACATCTCACCACGTTAAAACGGTGGATGTGACTCTTAATGAGACATGCCGTATTATCACATGATGTCTATGCCCCATACCACTGGATAGCCGGTATTTCACCACCTGACATCCACCGGGAAGCAGCAAGGCAGTGACATCTCCAGCCCATCCTCTGTTTGGATATCAACCAGCACGCCAGTGCCTTAAACCAAGAAATAGTTTTCTAAGATCTACAGAGAAATTTGCAAGAACACCTCATCAAGCCAGAGCCCAAAAGTGGCAGGCTAAAGCCCGGAACCTCAAGTCATAGATGATACTGAATGAGAGACTCCCCCCCGGGCACACAGAAGACTGGGTGACTTGGAAGGCGCTGAACAGACTGTACTTTGGCACCAGGAGATGCAGAGCCAACCTTAAGAAATGGGGCCACAAAGTGGAGTCCACAACATGCGAGTGTGGAGAAGAGTAAACCACAGACCACCTACAATGCAATCTGAGCCCTGCCACATGCACAATGGAGGACCTTCTTTCAGCAACACAAGTGGCCAGCTACTGGTCAAAGGACATTTAGTATAATGCCAAGTATTTAAACTGTGTGTGTTTTTTAAAAATACATTACAACTGTACCCTCGGTTCACCTCTGATACCATAAATAAATATAAATACCAAATCTACATTGGCCATTTTCAAACCGTGATTTAGAAGCAAAAGTATTTTCCAGGATATTTGTCGTAGGTTTAAGAAATTGAACTTAGTCCTTATGGTTTTAAAAAGAGGTCAGAAAACATGTAGAAAAAAATAATATGAAATGTTTTTAATGTCTTTTCTTATAACTAACAGAAGAAAAAACTGAAACACTGACAACTTTGATAAACTGACATAAGCAATACAGGCTGCAAAGCTTTGCTTTTATTGGTACGGAACTGACTCGTTTAATGCAAGCCGCCATGATGCCAGTTCTTCCAAAGCTGATGTTCTCCAGTGATGCTGGATTGCAGGTCCCATCACTTCCACTCAAACAACCAGTGCAGGCCAGGGATGGGATTCTTTCATGTATTGTTGGGAATAAATACCTCCACAGCCAGTGGGAGCTAAATCCAAATGTCTGTAATAATGTGTCCTTAGTGAGACTGGTCAGGAGACACACCTTAGAATCTTGCCTTGACAATGAAGGCCATTGGAGACCAGTTCTCCCTCAGCAGCGACTTTAGCTGTTAGAAGGCAAGTCTCTAGAGAACATTATCACATGGAACAGCAATGATGTTTCCTCAGCTACTTTCTCAGAGGAACTTGTGGATGCCAGATACAACCTCCCCTTTTGTTTAGACATCATTTCTTACAAAAAGGACAACAGATGAGAGACTGAACACTTAATGACTCAAGCAGCAGCACTCTCTTTTCCAACACATCCACTACAACATTAAATATACATAAAACCTGGCCAATAAGTGCCCATTCCCACCTGGTATCCTACATTAAGATTTCAGACATGTGAAACAAAATCCCTTCATTTAATACAATATTCTCTCCAGCTATGTGGGACTACAGCTCCTACTGTTTTCTGCCTTTGACATGCTGGCTGGCAACAGCAGGAGTTGAAATCCCACACACTGGGAAGGTGTTACAGTGGGGCAAACTACTCAGTATACATAGTGGTTTCCGTTCTACTACTGACTTCTAGGCTATTTCTTAAATGTCCCGGTACAATTCATACTGCCATTTTTCCACTTGGTGTGGAATTGAGTTTGGTGTGCAGTAGGTGTGTTGAATTTCTATACTCCATCTCATTCTGTTCCTGGAAAATGAGTGTGTGCTCCTTCAGTGTCATCTGACAAATTGGTGGGAAGCAACAGATGTAAGTGATGTTTAGAATCTCCTTTAGAGTTCAGGCAAGTGGTGGCTGGCCTCAGTCAAAATCAGAACAGGCCCCGGGACTTGAAAACTTAGGGTAATGAAGTAGCTTGTCTCGGGGGCTGGATGGCTGCCAGGCGGAGGCAAGGACATCCTCCTGCTCACACTGGAACTCCTCTTCAGACTTAACCTGGAACCACAAAAGCAAAAGTGGTTAGAAATTCTGTCTCAGGATGCTGAACATTGAAAACCCGCATCCCTATATTCTGCAGTTAAAATAACTTATACTAGTCTATCTAATTGGATGGTTTACTTAGTTAAGGAAGAAAAAAAAATAAGCAACAACATCCAAGATTCTAAATGTATATTGGTTAACAGATCCCATTAAGCTGATATTTTAAGAATAGTTGGCCTTTGTTATCCAATTCCAGGACCTCTCCTCCCCTTAATATCAAAATTTGTGGATGCTCAAGCCCCGTTAGCCTAGTAAAATGGTAAAATCAAGGTTTGCTTTTTTCTTTTTTAATCCATGGACATGGAACACTGAATGTATACATAAATTTGTCTGTATTCTTCACTTACTTCCTGGAACTAGGATTAATAATAATAATAATAATAATAATAATAATAAACTTCATTTATATTCCACCCTATCTCCCCTAGGGGACTCAGGGCAGAGTCCAACAAACAAAAAGGCAAACATTTAATGCTTCCTAACAGTAGATACAAACCCAAGATAACCCCACATAAAGAGCAACTTAAGCATAACAACTATAATTTAAATAAAACACAATAAATTAAAAATTATAACATAGAAATTAAACATAAAACATCTGAATTATTCCAAAACAACACAAAGGTTCACAAATGTGTGCATAGATTGCATGGCCAAAGTTGTTAAATGGTCTAATGTGATGTAACAAGGTCCAAGTGCATTTAAACTATCCAATCAGCAGTCTGGTAGCAGTTTTTCTTCAAATTGAAAAGGACCAGATACTCCTTTTAAATTTAGGGAACTGGGAAGGCTAAACGTTTTCTCGTACCTGTGCAGGGAATTCTTCCATAGGCAATAACGTTTGGGCTACTCGTCGTGCTCTCCCTTCCTTTTCCTCTCGCAGGTGGCGCCGCCGCTTCTTGGTGGTGGGGCCTTCACTTGGAGAAAGGCTCTCAGGCTCATGGGCAGGGAGAGGACCTGGGGGGCACCTGGGCATGTCCTTTTCAGGGGGTTCATTTTCTGTGTTGCCGGGGGTGGGAGCATCAGGGCTGTGGCCCCCTTCATCCTAGACAAGTTGAGCAAGAACAAGATTCTAATACTCATTTTCACTGTAAGGAAACAACATGAGGAGACTTGTCTTTATCCCTCTGGCCTAGCTTTTTGTGAGATATTCACCTGTGAGTAAATTATCAGAGCTTTCTCCGAATTTTGATCCAAACTTGCAAAAGTTATTGTTTTGCCTTACAATCAATAGAATCCCCCAGTCAGCATGGAGAAATCAACACTTCTCCAAATGATACATTAAATCATGGAGAAAAATTTCTAATCAGAAGAGGTTTTATTATTTGTAACCTTCTTTTGCAGCTCCCTTGTCTCAGCCCTGGTGAGAGTTTTTGGTTTTGCTGAAATCTTTATCTATTTTTCAACCCATGATTAAGTGAGGCAGTCCAAAACAGCTGGATGACTCCAAGTTAGTGAGGGCTGCTTTGGCCTCTTCAGCCAACTTTCTTACCTCTAAGACTATGTCCAGATGGCCTTGTCTGTAATCATCGCCATACGAATCCAACACCCTCATGAGAAACCTAAAAGGAAGGCATTTGTTAGATAGATGTCCTGAGGAAGCAACAGCCTCACTAACTGTCTTGTATGAGGGCACTCTCATGCAATGAGTAATTACTAGAAGACATTGGGTTAGATTGATTTGAAATGGGATTTAACAAATATTTGAAAGAAGTCTATTAGACACAAGCAGTTAATGAAAACTCCATGTTCAGAAGCAGTGTTGCTACTGTATTGCCCCAGGAGCCAAACAATAAGGGAGGCCGTTCCTTGTGAGTTTCTTTAAGGTATCTTGCCTGCCACGCCTGCAAACAAGGTGTTTACCTAAGTTAAACAGCCTTACTTCAGATGAGAGCTTCCAGATCTGTTGCACTACAATCCTGTTATCTCAAGCCATCATAGAAATCTGCTGTGTGACACAACCAAAAGACCCTTGGGACACAACTGACCTGGGTTTGATCCAGCTGGGCCATGTTTACCATGCACTGAGTAGAAACACCTCTATATCTTTGCTACTAGCACATTACCAGACTCACCTTCTCTCCTGCTTCAGTCGCAGTGTTATTCTCTGAACCTGATGCAACCGATTTAACATCCTCTCATTCACCTGCAACAGTGGATTCATGTTACAAGGATACACTTAAATTTCTCCTTTATTAGTTTCCCATTTTCCTATCCTTAGCAGGATGTGCTATTTGGATCTTTATCTGACACAGCCTCCCCACTTCCCAATTCTAGGGTCTCTATCTTTTTGTACATCTAGATGAACTGTGCTAGAGCGGACAGCGTGCTGATCCAGATTCCCATCTCCACACTGCCTCAAAGTATAGTTGATAAGTTTAACCTAAATACAGTATCTTAGCCTTTTATATCACTCTGGGTTGTTGGGAAGGCATTTCCCATTGTCATGTAGATAATGAGAAATGGTTAATTGACACAGCAGTTGATTCTGCAAGTTCAGCCCCTCCAAGTGCTCAGTAGGGTCTAGGAAAGCTACCTGTTTAAAATGCTAGTTCACCACTGTAAAAAATTGTGGTAAATAATACTGAGCAAGGTCTGGCTTGGTATAGATTTCTGCACAAAATTTTGTCATGCCTCTCTTCCCCCTGCACCCCAAATCTCCTTCCTCTAAATTTCCTCCAAATTAGCATCCAATATTTTTTTTTAAAAAAAGACATTTTTACAACCAAAATTAAGACTGTACATTAAGCAGGCATAAAAATGCTTATGCAGAGTAGAAGCCACAGTAACAACTCACAATTTCCAGATGTGTTGGGGCCATCTACCCCCTTCAACTGAATCCGTACCTGTTCCAACTCCTTGCAGCGCCGTGCTAGTGCCTGGCACTTGCGTCGTGTCATCTCCTGCTGCCGCAAGACACCTTCCTCTTCCTCTTCTTCTGCTATTCCACCATCAGCAAACTCTACCTCTGTCTCTAGTTCACTCTCAAGGATATTGCCACCAAAAAGAGGAGGGAGGGCCAGCTCAGAGCCAGGAGGCACCGAGAATTCCTCAAAGCCCACAGCTGCCATGATTCTCTTCTGGAAAAGAGAAAGTGATATATGGACTAATGGTCATCATCCCTCTCCCATCTAGAATCATAGGGTTGGAAAAGACCACAAGGGCCACCCAGTCCAACCCCATTCTGCCATGCAAAATCAAAGCACTCCCCACAGAGAGCCATCCAGCCTCTACTTGAAAAACCTCCAGAGAGTTCACCAAGCTCTGAGACAGTGTATTCACTGCCAAACAGCTCTTACCATCAGGAAGTTCTTCCTAATATTTAGGTGGAATCTCTTTTCTGAGTAGATAGAGATGGCAACGGATGACTCAGATTCTTATAAATCACACACATTCTTATAAATCACAACTCTCCCTACATCAAGAGAGGTTACATTGCTGCTTCAGATACATGCCCAGTAGGTATCAGATGCAACCTATTATTAAAATGCATCTTATTGGAGAACATTTTGTAACTGTGAACCAATCTCCCTTATTGCAGAATTTTTAAAAAATTCAATTGGAGTAAGTGTGCATCTACATTAGAATAAATGCAGTTTGACACAACTTAAAGTGTTGTGACCCAATAGTATGGAGCAATGGGAATTCTAGTTTTACATGCACTCAAGCTTTCTCTACCAAAAAGCGGGTACCTCACTAAACTACAATACCCTTTGTTCCACAATATTGGGCCACAACAGTTCAAGTGGTGCCAAACTGCATTAATTCTACAGTGTAGATGAACCTTCTGAAGATTTACAAGCTCTAATGACAGAACATACTCTAAGTGGACACACACTCATTTTTTCTCTCCTCAGAATAGTTTAAACACATGCATGAAGGGACATGGGGCCTTTCCACACAGCCCTATATCCCGGAATATCAAGGCAGAAAATCCCACATTTTCTGCCTTGAATGTGGATTCAGATAACCCAGTTCAAAGAAGATATTGTGGGATTTTCTGCCTTGATGTTCTGGGATATAGCGTTGTGTGGAAGGGTCCTTTGCTTCAGTTCTGTATCTCTGTAAGGTCAAAACAAATGAAAAGCTAACTCGTTTGTAGAGAATGACATTAAAAATTAAATTATGTGCAAAAAAAGAATAGTTTAAAATCTAAAAACACATAGTAACATTTAAGGGCCCTTCCACACAGCTCTATATCCCAGAATATCAAGCCAGGAAATCCCACAATATCTGCTTTGAACTGAGTTATCTGAATCCACACTCAGATAATGTGGGATTTTCTGCCTTGATATTCTGGGATACAGGGCTGTGTGGAAGGGCCCTAAGTAACAATTAATTAAATCGAAAACAATCAAACAGTAAAGCTTAAGTGTAAAAGAAAAGAAACAGAGCTTGTAGTCATTCTCACTTGATCCATTTTAGATATTATCCATACTTTCTTTGTATTTGACTATTTTTAGTACAAATGTGGAATATAAGTACATTTTGTAAATAAAGTTTTACTACATAAACTGAATTCTTGAAAATGAAATAGAAATCTATTATGGCTTATCAAAAGCAGGCTGTTCAATTTTGGCTCTTCAATTACGACTCAAGGCCTTTCCACATAGCCCTATATCCCAGAATATCAAGGCAGAAAATCCCACAATATCTGCTTTGAACTGGGTTGAGTCCACACTGCCATATATTCCAGTTCAAAGCACATAATATGGGATGTATTGTTGAAGGCTTTCAAGGCCAGAATCACTGGGTTATTGTAGGTTTTTTCAGGCTATATGGCCATGTTCTAGAGGCATTCTCTCCTGACGTTTCACCTGCATCTATGGCAAGCATCCTCAGAGGTAGTGAGGTCTGTTGGAACTATGAAAATTGGGTTTATATATCTGTGGAATATCTAGGGTGGGACAAAGAACTCTTGTCTGTTGGAGCTAGGTGTGAATGTTGCAACTTGATTAGCATTTGATGGCCTGGCAGGGTTTTTTTGGTGTAGCTTGTTAGTGCCTGGGGGAATGCCTTTCATGTTCCTTGATTCGTGTCTGGGCAATGCTGCGTTTGGTGGTCCCTATGTAGACTTGTCCACAGCTGCATGGTATACGGTAGACTCCTGCAGAGTGAGAGGATCCCTCTTGTCCTTTGCTGAACGTAGCATTTGTTGGATTTTCTTGGTGGGTCTGTAGATAGTTTGTATGTTGTGTTTCCCCATCAGCTTCCCTATGCGGTCAGTGGTTCCCTTGATGTATGGCAAGAACACTTTTCCTCTGGGTGGATCTTCGTCTTTACTCTCGTGGCTTGTTCTCGGTCTTGCAGCTCTTCTGATGTCTGAGGTGGAGTATCCATTGGCCTGTAGAGCCCAGTTGAGGTGGTTCAGTTCATCTTGGAGGAGGTGGGGTTCGCAGATTCTTTTTGCACGGGTCTGCCAAGGCTTTAATTGTGCTTCTTTTTTGACTTGGCTGATGGTGGGATTTTTTATGTAGATATTTATCTGTTTGTGTGGGTTTTCTGTAAGGCCCAAGACAAGAGGGATCCTCTTACCTCTGCAAGAGTCTACAGTATACCATGCAGCTGTGGACAAGTCTACATAGGGACCACCAAACGCAGCATTGTCCAAACACGAATCAAGGAACATGAAAGGCACTGCAGACTACTTCAGCCAGAGAAGTCAGCCATAGCAGAGCACCTGATGAACCAACCTGGACATAGCATATTATTTGAGAACACAGAAATGCTGGATCACTCTAACAACCACCATGTCAGACTACACAGAGAAGCCATTGAAATACACAAGCATGTGGACAATTTCAACAGAAAGGAGGAAACCATGAAAATGAACAAAATCTGGCTACCAGTATAAAAAAAACTCTAAAATTACAACAGCAAAACAACAGAGAGTAAACAATCAGGCACTTACTTACTTGCTTACTTAGGCAATCCCTCATCGGCTGAATAGGATAGTCTTCCATGATCAGAATTCTTGTGAGTCTGTAGGTGGCTGTGGAGCCCTATTCTTGATCTGCATCTTCTCCCGCAGTGAGGGCATTGGTTTCCAGGTGGAAGGCGGTCTCGGTCGGGGTTGGCTTGATGCGCCTTCCTCTTGGCACGTTTCTCTCTTTCACCCTCCATTTGTGCCTCTTCAAATTCTGCAGCACTGCTGGTCAGATATTTATATTTATTTATCGTGTCATCCGCAACCAGAACATTGTATTACATTTCTAACAGAACAAAACAAACAAACAGATAAAAAAAAACACACAAATTTTGCAAACTTGGTAGCTGATTAAATGTCCTTTGACCAGTATCTGGCCACTTGGAGTACCTCTGGTGTTGCCGCAAGAAGGTCCTCCGTCGTGCATGTGGCAGGGTTCAGGTTGCATTGCAGCAGGTGGTCAGTGGTTTGCTCTTCTCCACACTCGCATGTGGTGGATTCAACTTTGTAGCCCCATTTCTTAAGTTTGGCTCTGCATCTCATGGTGCCAGAGCGCAGTCTGTTCAGCGCCTTCCAAGTCACCCAGTCTTCTGTGTGCCCAGGGGGAGTCTCTCATCTGGTATCACCCACGGATTGAGGTTCTGGGTTTGAGCCTGCCACTTTTGAACTCTCGCTTGCTGAGGTGTTCCAGCGAATGTCTCTGTAGATCTAAGAAAACTATTTCTTGATTTAAGTCGTTGACGTGCTGGCTGATACCCAAACAGGGATGAGCTGGAGATGTCTCTGCCTTGGTCCTTTCACTATTGGCTGCTACTTCCCGGCGGATGTCAGGTGGTGCAATACCGGCTAGTCAGTGTGATTTCCTCTCAACAAAATATTCCTCTGGGCACTAACAAGCCACACCAAAAAACTGCCAGGCCATCAAATGCTAATCAAGGTGGCCAGTTGAAACATTCACACCCAGCTCCAACAGACAAGAGTTCTTTGTCTCACCCTGGTCATTCCACAGATATATAAACCCTTTTTCCTAGTTTCCAACAGACCTCACAACATCTGAGGATGCTTGCCATAGATGCAGGCGAAACGTCAGGAGAGAATGTCTCTAGAACATGGCCATATGATCTTGGAGTCCTCGTGGACAACAAGTTAAACATGAGCCAACAATGTGATGTGGCGGCAAAAAAAGCCAATGGGATTTTGGCCTGCATCAATAGAAGCATAGTGTCTAGATCTAGGGAAGTAATGCTACCCTTCTATTCCGCTTTGGTTAGACCACACCTGGAATATTGTGTCCAATTCTGGGCACCACAATTCAAGAGAGATATTGACAAGCTGGAATGTGTCCAGAGGAGTGCAACTAAAATGATCAAGGGTCTGGAGAACAAGCCCTATGAGGAGCGGCTTAAGGAGCTGGGCATGTTTAGCCTGAAGAAGAGAAGGCTGAGGGGGGATATGATAGCCATGTATAAATATGTGAGAGGAAGCCACAGGGAGGAGGGAGCAAGCTTGTTTTCTGCTTCCCTGGAGACTAGGACGGAACAATGGCTTCAAACTACAAGAAAGGAGATTCCATCTGAACATGAGGAAGAACTTCCTGACTGTGAGAGCCGTTCAGCAGTGGAACTCTCTGCCCCGGAGTGTGGTGGAGGCTCCTTCTTTGGAAGCTTTTAAGCAGAGGCTGGATGGCCATCTGTCAGGGGTGATTTGAATGCAATATTCCTGCTTCTTGGCAGAATGGGGTTGGACTGGATGGCCCAACAGGTCTCTTCCAACTCTTTGATTCTATGATTCTATAGTTCGAAAAAAAACCTACAACAACCCAGATAATGTGGGATTTTATTCAGCTGTGGAAGGGACCTAAAAAGCAGATACTGAGCATGATAGAATTATATGATTTTAACAAATATTTCCTCCCAAAAATGCTTTAAAGTCTTTAATCTCACCAATCAATCCCTCGGAGATGTCAAAAAGCCTTTGGATGAGGATGTCTCTGACTGATGATGTTGTCACGTCACCTACAAACGTTTTGGAAGCTCCTTGACTATAGTGTCAATGGGGGAGAATAAGACGTGTCGCCTTGTGGTGACGACACTAACATAGGCGGGGCTTCTGTCGCATTCTAGCAGACGCCCTGAAAGTTTGGGAGAGTTACAGCCTTTCCAAGCTTTGATTCTTAATGAAGTCGTTCTAAAACCGGAAGTGTCTGTCTATCGGAGTGAATACTTTCCTCTATCTCTAGGTTTTGGTTTCACGCGCATGCGCGAGGATTCGATGACGACATCGAGAGCGACGAGGCGGCTTCTGTGACGTATTTAATGCGGGACGGACAGGAGTTGCTGTCGCATAGCTGGTACAAGTAGCCGGGAGAAAGAGAAGGAAGCAGAGGAGAGTGAAGAGAGCTTCGTGAAAAGTGAGGAATTAGAAGGAGGCCGGATTAAGGTTGCTAAGAGGGGAGAAGGTGGGATAAATGTGTTAGCTGAGCCTTTTCTTTTATTCTGACTGCATCCCTAGGTGCATCTACAGCAGGCCTGGGCAAACTTGGGCCCTCTGAATTAAATGGAACTAATCCAGGCCTGGGCAAACTTGGGGGCCTTCCAGGTGTTTTGGACTTCAACTCCCACAATTCCTAACAGCCTCAATCCCTTTCCTTTTAAGCGGCTGAGGGTGAAAAGGAAGGGGCCTGAGGCTGTTAGGAATTGTGGGAGTTGAAGTCCAAAACACCTAGAGGGCCCAAGTTTGCCCAGGCCTGCTGTAGATTGTAGTAGTTTGCTTTTGCAAACTTGGGCCCTCTGAATTAAATGGAACTAACACAAACTTGGGCCCTCCAGGTGTTTTGAACTCCAACTCCCACTATTCCTAAGATTCTACCGGCTGTTAGGAATTGTGGGAGTTGAACTCCAAAACTCCTGGAGGCCTGAAGTTTGCCCATGTCTGCTGTATAGGATCCAGACACCCCTCAAAGAATCTGGTCCCTTGTAACCCACAAGTTGAACTTCCTATTTCCTTTTATTCTTTAACAGTATTTCCCAAACTCTGATCTTCCAGATATTTTTGAATTCGGATCCAGAACCACTGGTTTATTGGCCGAAGCTCTGGGGAGATGGAATCCAAAATACCTGGGAGACTAGAGTTTGGGAATCACTGCTTTAGCCTCTACCATAAATGTGGTTTGCCACCACTTTAGCTGTCATGGCTCATGCACAATTCAAAGTGCTGGTTTTGACCTACAAAACCCTATACGGTTCCGGCCCGACGTATCTGTCCGAACGATCTCCCTCTACGTCCCACCTCGGAGTTTAAGATCTTCTGGGGAGGCCCTGCTCTCGGCCCCGCCTCTATCACAAGTGAGATTGGTGGGGACGAGGAGCAGGGCCTTCTCAGTGGTGGCCCCTCACCTATGGAATTCACTCCCTGGGGAAATTAGATCATCGCCATCCCTCCTTTCCTTCAGAAGGAAATTAAAAACATGGATTTGGGACCAGGCGTTTGGGCAATCTGGCAGATAAATAAAGGACAACGACGACTGATAGGAATGGAAAATGTGGAATGAAGTTATGGACTCTGAGTTGCGAACGTTGAGCATAAGATTGGTTTTTTATTGACTGTGATATATATTGATTGTTTTTAACTGTTAAAACTGTTTTAATTGCTGTCTATTTTATCTGTATTACTGTGTAGGCATCGAATTTTGCCTTTTTGTAAGCCACCCTGAGTCCCCCCTCGGGGGTTGAGAAGGGCGGGGTAGAAGTACACGAAATAAATAAAATAAATAAATTTGAAAAGGCTAAAGGCCTTGTAGAACCACAACTTCATTGATTCTATAGCAGTGAGCCAAGTGGTATTAAAAAAAAAACAACAACTCTGGGACTGCTTGTATTTGGTTTGGGGGAGTATTTGGAGTTGCTCTGTAGGTAAAATCTCTCCCAATTCACTATCAAGAGAATATGGGTGCCCAGCACTTCAGATATGTATGTCATAGTTTCCTCTTTTTTTCTTGCTGTTATAGGTGTGATCCACCATGTCTTTAGCAGATGAGCTTTTAGCTGACCTTGAGGAAGCAGCAGAGGAAGAAGATGGCAGCTTTGCAGATGAGGAGGATGAGGATCCCATTGAGGATGTCCAGGAGGAGATGCAGCTGGATCTGGCGACTGATTCTGTCAAGAGTATTGCCAAGCTGTGGGATAGCAAGATGGTGAGAGAAATGCAGGGTCCACTTAATTACTTACCTAGGCGATCTCTCGATGTCCAAATAGAATTGTCTTCCAAGATTGGTGTACTGGCAGTGGGTACATAGGTGACTGTGGAGCCCTATTCTTGACCTGTATGTTCTCCTGCAGTGAGGGCATTAGTTTCCAGGTGGAAGGCGGTTCTGGTTGGGGTTGGCTTGACAAGCCTTCCTCTTGGCACGTTTCTCCCTTTCGCCCTCCATTCGTGCCTCTTCAAATTCTACAACACTGCTGGTCACAGCTGACCTCCAGCTGGAGCGCTCAAGGGCCAGGGCTTCCCAGTTCTTAGTGTCTATGCCAGAGTTTTTAAGGTTGGCTTTGAGCCCATCTTTAAATCTCTTTTCCTGTCCACCCAACATTCCGTTTTCCATTCTTGAGTTCGGAATAGAGGAACTGCTTTGGGAGACGGCGGTCAGGCATCCGGACAACGTGGCCGGTCCAGCGGAGTTGATGGCGGAGGACCATCGCTTCAATGCTGGTGGTCTTTGCTTCTTCCAGCACACTGGCATTTGTCTGCTATCTTCCCAAGAGATTTGCAGGATTTTTTGGAGGCAATGCTGATAGAATCGTTCTAGGAGTTGCATGTGACATCTGTAGATAGTCCACGTTTCGCAGGCGTATAGCAGGGTTGGGAGGACAATAGCTTTATAAACAAGCACCACAGAGTGTTTGAGGACCAGGACATCCGTAGAGATACCAAGGGCCCACTTACAGCAACAATGACAAGTTTAAGAATCCTATAGAAACAAAACCTGTGTGTCTAAGTTATTTATCCCACGTGGAAAAGGCAAACAACATTTGGAGAACAATGAGAGAAAACCCTGTTGTGTATTGGTGGGAGTTTTATGAAGCTGCTTGGATACAATAAAATACTCCATAGTACCCATATGCCCAATTGATTAAAAGTATTCACTATTTCAAATTTTGGGGAGGAGATTTCTGTTGACAGTATGTAAATTAAAGTTATATTCAAAATTAAGATTAATCCTGAACTTTTCTTGTTCTGTGATCTGCCGTTCCTCTTCTAGAATTTGAGAATGAGTTAGGAGGCTGAGGCTAAGGATGCTATCCACAAAGCCAGACTTCACATGTCTTTGCCCTTCTCCTTTACAGTTTGCTGAAATCATGCTGAAGATAGAGGAATACATCAGCAAGCAACCGAAAGCATCTGACGGTACTGAGTTGGCTTTGAATATAGGTCACCCACCTTTACACTGAACCCCAATCCTATTTCCTTCAATGCAGAATCCACTACATATCCTCCGTGCCCTGTGATAGAGAGTTGGAGTACACTTTTGCCTGTTTCTCTGATACTTTTCAATAGATAAAGATTTTGAGTTTTCCTTTCTTCACTTCCCAGTTCTAGGCCCAGTGGAGGCTGCACCTGAATACAGAGTTATTGTGGATGCCAACAACCTCACAGTAGAAATTGAAAATGAGCTCAGTGAGTAAAAGTCTTGGTTGTTTACCTTAGGGAAGAGAAAATAGTGACAAGACAAGTGGGAAGTTTTGGCAGCATTACATAAATTGTTACTTAGTGGTCCGCGGATGGCGGAATAAATTAAGCAGGCAGTAGTGTTGGGAAGGGCTGGTTTTTCTGGGATGGGTGTGTAGTTTATTAAGTAGAAAGCTGGGAGGTGTGCCATGCAGACTGTGTGTGTATTAGATTGCATAGTTATTAAAAGTTTAAGGTATTTCTGGGACTCTTCTGTTAGAAATTTAATCTTCCTTGGGTAATGTGTGATCCAGACTAGCCAATATCCAAAGATGCCATGCAAACAAAGTGGGGAGCATGGGGTCCTCCAGATGTTAGTGAATTATAGTTCCCATCAGCTCCAGCTAGTTTTACCAGTTGTGAGACATGATAGGAACTGTGTTTAGGAATATCTGGGGAACCACAGGTTTTCCATGATGAAGTATAGCCCAGAAATGCTAATGCATTCAGCCAGAAGTATACTATATGTTTGTGTTTACCTTCTAAAGTTTACTTTAAATAATAATAACTTTATTCTTATATCCTGCCACCATCTCACTGAAGAGACTCGGGCGGCTTACAGATGACACAAAGTGCCTAAAACAAACATAAAAGTCAACATAATATAAAATAACACATGCACATATGAAAACATCATTCAGATTCAATCAAGCTGCAATCATCTAACCGTGGTGGTAAATTACAGACATCATGGCTGGGCTGTAAACATTGGAATGAAATAAATACTTTTAGAGTATGCTTTCTCTAGAATAACAGTATATATTCCTCCTGGCTAATATGCCAAATCTTTGATTATTATTATTTTTTCTTTGCAGACATTATTCATAAATTTATTCGAGACAAATACTCCAAGCGATTTCCAGAACTTGAATCCCTTGTCCCAAATGCTCTGGATTACATTCGGACTGTCAAGGTATTGTGGCTTCAAATATGCAAAGTGATTATTTGAATTTGTTTTACTATCTAGCACATTCATATGGAGCCACAAAGTTGGATGGCTTCCAAGAAAATTGTTAATCATTTAATTGGAAGAATAAATATGAGAGATAGGGAAGCAGGCCATGAATTCCCCGCAATCATTTCCCTGAAACCAATAAATGACTTGCCATATTTTTCTTTGGGGAAGTATAGGGGTTCTAGTGGCTCTCACGGCCTGGATCTTAGCCTAGTGGATGAGGCCACTGTGGTTTGAATGCTGCTGGAAGAGAAAGAATATAGATTTAAATAAATGTTATTTTACCCGACTCTTCTGCAAACCTGATGTTTTTCCACAAGTGCAACAATCTGTTTTTTCTTAGAACGAGAATGCCTCAAATAAAGCCTTGGCAAATGGTTGGTATTACCTCTCAACTCAATCTACATCTCTCGTTTGAAAGCTAAAGTTTTCGTCTTAACTTTTGCAGGAACTAGGGAATAGCTTGGACAAATGCAAGAACAATGAGAATCTTCAGCAGATCCTTACAAATGCCACCATCATGGTTGTCAGTGTTACAGCATCTACTACTCAGGGGTAAGATGGACAT